GTTTTCTCATCTGCAGAATGGGCTGACAATGCCAGCTAACATTGCTACCAAGCACTCGCTGCATGTCAGGCACCAGGCATGGCTGAAGCAGCACATTCACGCCCCGTGTGTACTGGGTGCCTGCCATCTCCTGTCTCCTGCCTACCGCTTAGGCGCTGGGGACACAGCTGTGGTAGAGCAGGCCCGCAAAGAGGAGCTCCTGTTCCAAGGGAGAGATGGACGATGAACAAGATAGGCAAATAAAGGACACTGTGGCAGAGGCACGAAGTTCTACAGAGGAAAATAAGGCAGGAAGAGGGCCATGGGGGAAAGCGAGGCTGCAGCGGCCTGCTGGGCAGTAAGGGGGGGCCTAATAAAGAGGGTGGCATCTGAGCAGGACATAAAGGTAGTGAGGGAGGGGCCGTGCAGAGATCTGGGGAAGAGCATTCCAGGCAGAGACAGCAGCATGTGCAAAGGCCCTGAGGTAGGAGCGGGCCTGATCTGTTGGAGGCACGGCAAGGCAGGCAGCAGGGTGGCCCCGGGGAGGCAGCAAGAGTGCTGGGAGGGAGGCCAGACTGCGCAGGGCCCTGAGGGCCCCGGGGAGGAGTTTGGTGGGAATCGGCGGAGGGCCCTAACACCCAGAGTGCACCAGACACAGAGTAGGTGCTCAAGGAACAATGCCCAGAGTGGCTCTAGTGGGAGCCGCCACTCCATAATCTTTATTGTTTGTTCCCTGGCCCCTCTCCAAGCCTGAGTCCTTCAAAGAGGCCCGGCCTGCAGGTGAGGGCAGGAGAGGGAGGCTTTGGCTGCCCAGGCAGGAGGAAGGGCTCGGTCCAGGTGGGTGGGGAGTCAGGCAGGATCAGGAGGCTGTGCCCACTGACTCCAGGACAGCATTAATGCACAGCCACGGAGGAAGTGCTCCCTGGGGCAGCTGAGAAGGGGGTTCCCTCTCTTATCTGGCCAAGCAAATGGAGCCATGCCCAACCATGCAGAGCTGAAGGCTAATTACAGGGCTGGGCGGGGGTCCTCAAGGTCCCCACAGTCTCACGCCGCCACTTCAGCAGCCGGGCAGGAAGGCGTGAGCTATGGAGCACCAGTGGTGGCGGGGTCTGGGGGACACTGAGGACGCACCAGGAAACAGGAGGCCTGCCTCGGGGCCCACTGCCATCTGGGGCCCACTGCTGCAGCAAAGTGCTGCCCTCCCCTGGGCCTGTTTCCCAGATGTCCAAGGGAAGCCTGGATGGAAATGAGCTCCCCAGGCTCCCGCTCCACAAACGCTCACGCCTTCTCCTTCCCAGATCCCCCTCTCCACTCGCCCATTTCTACTGAGACCTGCCCCTCCCCACGCCCACCTCCTAGAGGCATACTCCAAGTCTCACGTTCCTGCTGCCCCATCATGGGCACTCTCGGGAGCCTCCCGGCCCAGGCTTCAGTCCCACTTCACAGATGATGAACTGAGGCCAGGAAGAGTGACCCGATCTCGGCTGCAACACCTGCCTCTCTTGCCCCGCCCATCTGCCCAAGAGTCTCCTCTGAGACAGTGAGATCCCTGAGGGCAGGGGCAGGATCTCCCCAAATGCAATACCCACTTATTAAGTACTTCTGTATGTCTACCCAGCGCAGAGTCACAGCTAGGAAACGGTCTGGGAACTCCAGCCCCAGAACTCACAGCCCCCACAGTTCTTACCAGCACAGTGGGGCCTCTGCGGCTGGAAAAAAACAGTCCAGACATGGAATCACGGAGCATTTACTGAGCACCTACTGTATGCCAGGGCTTCACTAGGTCCTAGGGATAGAACTCCCGGGAGCTGGGATGGCATGCAGGCCCCAGTCCCTGTGTGGGACCTGCCTGGTGGTGAGGCAGGGAGAAGGCCAGCCTGACAGTCAAGCGCCCCTGAGCGGCCTGTCTGCGGAATGAGGGAAGGAGCAGTTCTGCTCCTGGGAAAGCACCAGGGCTCCGGGTCTGAGGACGGCAGGCTGCTGCCTCCAGTGCCTCCTGGGTCTCCAATCCCTGTCTGCACAAATGGAGCTAATGCCACCCTCTACACTGGCAGGCCATTAGAAAATTAAGTCAGCTGGCTGAGGGATGGGTCCTTGGCCAGTGGCCAGTGGGGGCTCTGGGCCTGCCCTGAGCCCAGCACCTCGGAAAACCCACCTGCCTCTGCCCAGCCTCCCCGCCCCCACCCCCGTGGCGCCTCTGAAGCTCTGGCCAACCTGCACACGGCCCAGTTTCAGGCCAGCTCTCTTTCATCTTCAGCCTTTCCCTGCTGCCGTGTCCCTAGCACGCTGCCAGTTCCCGGCACAGCCATCCCGTGGGGCTGAAGCCCTTGCCCACCGCACCTCCCATGTGGCTGGCCAAGCCTCCACTCCTCCTGTCACCAGCAAGCTGCCCCCTCCCTGACTCTCCTCCATGCCAGCCTGAGGCAGGGCTCCAAGGGTAGGCCCAGGGAGGGGCAGGTGTGCCCACGGGTCTCTCACAGTAATGCCCTGGCCAGGGCCCAGCCACAGGCACCAGCTGCGCCTGTTGGAGGAAGGGCACAGCCCAGAGCTGGGCGTGGGAGCAGGGGCTGAGGGTGGCTACTGGGTGGGCACCGTGTGTACCAGTAGCCTTCTGCCTGGGGACCTGGCGAGGGCCACAGAGGTTGATGACAGTGATGATGCAGTCACTTCCGATCCAGCCGTATGCCAAGGCCTCCGGGTGCCATGCTTGGTACTGCCAACTGTGGCCCAGGGTACTGGAGGCCTGGCCAGGCAGAAGTGGCCCTGTGCTGCAGAGCTGCAGCTGCTGCTGCTTCGACTACTGTGATCACTGCCATCATTACTTTGCTGTTGCATGGCCACTCAGTGTTACCTTGTCCTGCTTCGAGGAGACCAGAGGATGGGGACACCATGGCCCTGGGGCAGGAAGGCTGGTGGGGCAAGCCCCTGGGGTGGGGACAGCTAGGTGAAGGCATCTGTCCAAACACAACCCACTGCAGGGTAGATTTAGGCGAGACCCCTCTACCACCTCCCAGGCACCTCTTCCTCCCAGCGCAGTGAGGCACATTCCTGGAGGGGTCCTCCGGCAGCCTGGAAACCCTCTGGGTGTTTGACGGAGTAGCTGCAGGGGGAGTGTCCAGAGATGGACTGACAGCTCAGGTCCTGCCCCTCCCAGAGAAGGCTCCACCCCTTCGGTGCTGGGGAGGGGGGTGTCAGCCATGCCCTCCTCTGGAAGGGCTAAAAGGAGGTGATAGGGGACTTGGAGTCCCTACCTGCCAGCTCTGAGTCAACAGCCAGCATTTACAGAGTGCCTATTGTATGCCCACAGCAGCGCTCTGGTGGAGAAGAGGGATGTCCCCGTGGCCCAGCACACTGGAGCCACCATCCTCGTCCCCAGGGTGCTCGAGTGAGCCCCTTCACCCCTCACTCCCTACTCTCTCTCAGGGGGCGTGGCACCACCAAATGGCAGGCCCCCGCGGAGTCCCCATCCTAGGGCCGCCAACCTCAGGTCCCCTGGTTGTTGGAGGTGTCACCAGAGAACTGAGGGGCAGACTTTGCTGAGAAGTCTCTTGCGGGGGTCCCCAGCAGACACTGAGGGGCTCTTCTTAGAATACGGGAAGGAGTACCCCTCAAAAAGAGCGCGAGCCTCCACAGGCGCCAAGGGCGGAGATGCACCTCTCCTCCCTGACCCTCGCCCGCCACAGGGCGGCGGTCCAGGGCGGAGCTGCGCGAGGAGGGGCCGCGGAGGGGACAGCGCCGCGGAAGGAGGCTGGGGTCCAGCCGCGCGGCCCGGGACCGGCCCTCCTCTGGCACGTCAGAGGGGGCGAAGGCTAGGCCGAAGGCTAACGCCTTCCGGGTTCGCACCTTCCAAAGGCGGCTGCCGATTTCAGCGGTGTGTGGGCGCCTCGGCACTCTCGGAAACCGAGCCTGGGAGCCGGGGTTTGGGGGCGCGGATGTGGGGGCCAGGAGGTCCCCAACGCTTTATTGCAGGGCTCGAGCCTGGGTATAGAGGAGCAAAAAAGAAACTAGAAATGGCCACAGGCAGCGCCGCACTCGGAGATGGGAACGCCCCCTGGGAAATGGGGAGGGGGAGGTCCCAGGTCCCAGCGAGTCCAGGCTGTGAGGAGGCAGGAGAACCTCCCAGAACAAGACCGACCCCAAAGAAACACTTTGACCCCCATTCCGAACACAGGTTTCAAAATATTCACATGACATGTGCCCGCTGGATCAAAACGAGGCACAGGCACTCGCTTGGGCCTCCACTCCCATCTTAACCCCCCAAAGAGCGCCCCACCCCACCCGCCTCTGTCCAAGAGTCCCCGATTCCTGCCCCGCTCCCCCGGGGCGCTCGGAGAGGCCGTGCGCGTGCAGGGTAGACCCTGGCCCTGAAACCCTGGGAGCTTCTCAGCCAGCGGCCATCCCCTCGGAGATCAAGGCCGACTTCTAAAAGCAAAAGGGAGCCTCTGGACTTGGCTGACTAGCTGGCATGGAATCATTTCCAGAATATTTTTACTCCGTTACAGCACGGGAGGTGAGAAAGAGACAAGACTCCAGGGACCCGCAGGTCTCTGGCGGGAGGCATTCTCGGGGCGGCTCATATAGCCCCGGCGCCCGCCTCTGAGCCCCACCTCGATCGCGGGGTCTCTGGGAAGGTCAAGCCTAAGACCCGTGCGTCGCGCCCGAGAGCTTCCGCAGGCTCCCTCCCGAGCCCCCTAGTGCAAACCAGCCAGAGGGGAACCGAGGGCTCCTCAAAGTTTCCCGGAGCGCCCCCCAGGACGAAGGTTAGCCAGGAGCAAAGTTCCTTGTGGTGGTAGCCGGAGACATGGCAGGGAAAGAAAAGCTCACAGTCAGCATTTCCTCCGATGTCTCACCAAGGAAGGAAAAAAAATGAAAACCAGAGGAAGAAAACACCCTCCCGCTCCACCTTCCCTGTTGCTGCACCACCTCGTGCTCGCTCCGGGCCGGGCTAGTGGCGGGGGGCAGCCTGAGGGGAACTGGGGCCGGGCCCCCGGGGGACCATGCGCCCACGGCCGCGCACTTACCTCGGTCAGTGGCCGGGGCGCGGCGCGCTCGGCGTCCTCCCAGCTCCGGGCGGCCGTTCCTGGCCCCGGCAGCTGCCGCGGTGGCTGCATCGCCGCCGCTGCCGCCACCGCTTCAGGGCAGCCCCCGGGGGCGCTCCATGCCGAGGGGGCTAGTCGGTCCGCTAAGCGGATCGCCTGGGTCCAGCCACGGGTCGGGGGCGCGCGCCTGGACGGCGCCCCCGGCCGCTGGGCGTTCGCTCGGGCCGGGGCGGCTGGCGTCTGTCCCTCGGTCAGGCTGTGAGCACGGCCAGCCCACCCCCTCCCCCGCCGGCTGTTATCTGATCCCGGGCAGGGCCAGGCGCGCTCCCCTACGCCCCGGCGCCCCGCAGCTCCTCGCAGGCTCCGACCGCGCCAATCCCCCTCCCCCGGCTACTGTTCCCAGGGAGGCGGCAGCAGCGGCGGCGTGGCCGGGAGAAGACGGGTAGCGAGGAATGGAGGGCGAGGAGGCGGCGGGAGGCAGAGGCTCGGCGCGCACCCAGCTCCGCGCCTAGCTCCACCGGAGCTCAGCTCGGCAACTCCTCTAACTCTCCGCGGAGAGCACGCCCGCCCCGCGCCGCGCCGCCGCTGCACCCGCCTACCACGGCTCCGGCCTGGCCCGGAGCCCCTCCTAGTCCCGGGCCGCCCCCTACACACACACCGCCAGCCACTTGCGCACTCGGATGCGCGCGCGCGCGCAGACACACATACACACAGACACACAGACACACACACACACACACACACACACACACAGGCACGTCTTCCCGGGGACATGCGCGCACACATACATACACACACATGCAGGCACGTCCCCCGGGGGACACGCGCGCACACCCAGGTGCATGGCGAGCACACATACAGGCATAAACATACAGGCAAGGGAATCTTGAAGAGGCATCCACACAGCCGGATACACAATCTCGGGTGTCATATATACACATGCAAAATACATGCCCCTACATGCATGATGTTCGCAGGTGCACAGGGGCACACACGCTTATATGTGCACATGCAGGCTGGTATCTGCACGTGTGCACACGCACACACAGGTCTAAGCTCGTGCATTCCTACGAAACCCTTTCCCCCTGCACACCGGGCACACACCCCTCTACACACACCATCCCACCCTAACAGCATTTTTCTCCTCTCTATCAGGAGCTCTGCTTGACTTCTCCCATCTCCTGCCTTCTCTGTGCTCCTCCCTGGACCTCTCCCTGCCGACCGGATCCCCCATGTGACCCCCTTCTCTTTCCAACCCCTGTCTCTGGAGGCACAGGCTTTCTTCCCAGCCTGTCCCCAAATGCCCTGCCCTCCCAGCCTTCTGAGGCCTATTGTCTGGGCCTCATATCTCTGGGCCTCCTGCAGGGGCCAAGCCTTTCATCCTGGCAGACAGACCTGCCCGCCTGGACATTGACCCAGGGAAACCCCATTTTGTCACTGGTCTGACCCCCAGCTCATCCCTAGGGCCTCAGAATTGGGCCGAGGAGGCCAATCTGTGCCCAGAGCATGAGCCTCAAAGGGCTCCTTGGCCCCCTTGGCCTCCAGCTTCCCCTTTAATGTGAAATATAATTATGTGTCTGCACAGCAGGGAGGCTGGCTGCAGGATTCTAACCAAGGAGGACGGCTCTCTGGCCCGCGCCCAGATTGCTGGCAGCTCAGACCAGAGTGATCTGCAGGTCCCACCAGCCCAAGGATCCTGGCCCCAGGCAGCTGGTGGGTGCAGTCCAGGCCAGCACTCACTGACCTCAGTCTGCCCTGAGTTTGGATCCCACCTCCTCAACTGACCAGCTGCGGAAACAGGTCACTTCACCACTCAGCACCTCCATTTCCCTGTTGTCAGTACAACTCACTATCCTTACGGAGCTGCTGCAAGAATTAAATGAGATGAGTATACCTAAAGCGCTTAGCACTTGTCCTGGGGTCAGACGGTCAGGATGAGCACTCAATATGTGCTGAGTTCTGTGCTACGGCCCCAGCTAGAATGATTTCGTTACCACTGTGGCCCTCTGGGGGAGACAAGCTCGTTGGCTCCATTTTACAAATGAAGGAACTGAGGCACAGAGGGGTGGTCACTTGCTTAATTACAGAGCTACTGGACGGTGGAACCAGCACTCAGAACCAGGTGTGTCCCCAACTTAGACCTGCAGTGGAGAGAGAAGGGGCATGGCAGGAGACTGCAGCCCCCGCCCCGCCCTGCCTGGCACACTGTGTCCTGATTTCCTCCTCCTCCTGGGAGAACAGCCTCCCAGGGGACTGAAAGCTCTCAGGAAACTTCCTCCTTCTCCCTCCAAGTGACCATGGAGGGAAATGACTCAGCTCCCCACCTGCCCCTCCTCTGTTTCCCAGATGGGGAAGCCCAAGCCAGTGCGGAAGAAGCCTCTCACCAGCCCCGCTTCCACCCTCAGAGACCACTCAGCTGTCCCAAGAGGAATGGGGCCTGGGACACCCCTCCCTTGAAGCCTTACTCTGTGGGCCCAAAGAGGGGCAAGGGAATGAACGGGAACACTTCAGGGCTCCTCTGGGTCTAAGATTCTGATAGCTCCTGGGACGAGGGGCTGCGCCCAGGGCATCCTCAAGCCTGGAACACACACCCCCATCGCCCCCATACACACACAGGGCCCCTGCCTAGGGGTCACCACCCAAGATGGCCAGTGTGAGGCAGGCCAGGTGTCAGCCCGTCCCCTCTCCCATCCCCAGAGCCATTATGAGACCCACTTCACAAAGAGGGCAAGTGTCTTGCCCAAGGTCACCCAGCAGAGATGCAAGCCTGACTCACTGGGCCACTGCCCTTGAGCTCCACGTCCCACCTTCCCAACCCACTTGCAGGGCAGAGTTCAGTTCTTAATTGTAATTGCAACCCATGAGCAGCCATTACGGGCCCCTCAAAGCAAAGGGCCTGGCCGCTGGGCACCAGCCTCCCTCCAGGAGGGGCTGGGACACAGAGAGGCAGGGATGTGGGCAGATCTCTCTCTAGGCAGCTCACACATCTGCCTCAGGGCTCCTCACCTGGGCAGAGGGGCTCACAGCCCTCCTGGGGTGTGCCTGCAGCCAGAGTAGGGGACATCATGCCCCCTATAGCGTGGAGGGGGCAGTATCAAGGGTGGCCAGGTGGGGCCAAATGGACTGAGCCCAGAGCCAACACTGCCCAACAGGGGACCTGGGACACGTCCCCTGCTGACGATTTGCTTCCCTCTCTGTAAAATGGGGCTGACAGTGACAACCGAGGCCGTGAGAGTAGTAAGTTCCCCGGCACAGCCATGGGAGCAGCCGAGGAGACGAACAGCAGTCGGGTGTCCCACGACGCACACACCCTCCCAACGCCCTGAATTGTGTGCCCTGCGCCTGGCTTCCCCTTGATCCCGATTCTTTCTTCACCTCCAGGATAGGAGTTTCTCCAAGACAGGAGTGGGACTGAGGCTTGCTTGCACCCAGTCTCTCCCAGCCTCGGGTGGGCATACTGGCTGCTCAGGATACCTTTGCATATCTGAGTGTCCTCAGAGCCACAGGCCCAGGAGGCGGAAGAGCTCCCGGGCTCATTTGGAATCCTGCCTTTGTTTTGAGGAAAGCAAGGCCCAGAGAGGGGAGGTGGCTTCTGTGACCACTAAGCTGCCCAAGGCAGGTGTCCCAAAGGCTAGGTTTGCCACCCTGTGTGCCGGAGCCCCAGAGCTGCAGCCTCTCATGGTAATCACGTCTTGATGCCACAATGCCGATGCGCCTGTGGCAGGCCTAAGGCCATCACCGAGTGAGATGTGAGAACCAGACGGTCCTTCCCCGGCGGCTTTGCTTGGCCTGCAGGCAGCTGCACCCAGTGTTCCCAGAGTCCCAGCATCTCCTTCCAGCCAGGAATGCCTACTCCCCAGAGCCCACTGAGACTTTCCCTGTCTGCCCTAGACCTTGGCCTGGCTTTGGCCCTCAAGTCCTCCCACTGTCAAGATGTGAAATGAGCTGTCAGCACGCCCAGTTTCACCCTTCTAGGAGAGATAGCCAAAGTCCCTGAGGCCACAGACACCCTCCCCTCAGCCACTCTCTTCTGAACACACTGGCTGGCCATCCAGGCCCCTGGACACCAGCAGCCTGATTCTGTCGCTGGGCCTTGGTGCCTGCCTCCGTCAGGAACACTGTCCCTCCAAACTACCCTACATGCAAGGGCAGCTGCGGTGGCGTGTCTGTGAGAGGCCTGCCGACCACCGGGACTCACCTGCTGTGCCCAGTGTGTGTTCTTCCCAAGCTGGCCATTCTCTGAGGTGTCTGGCTCACTGTCGTATCCCCCACCAGCATGGCACCCCCAGGAGGGCAGGAGCTTGTCCTCCAGGCGTGTCCGCAGGGCAGGACCTGGCACACCGAAGGCATGCCATGAGTGCAGACCAGTGCTAACAGACTCAGCTCAGGAACGTCTCAGCCACAAACGTTCTCCCACCCTCCTCTCTCCGCACAGCTTGGCTGTCATAGCCACTCCCAACTCCACCTGCACTGTCACAAAGCCACGCTGGCCCCTGCAATCACAGGCTGTTTATCAGCACAAGCCTTGCCCCCTCCTCCAGGCAGGTGGCCAGGATCTGGGTCTCACTCGGCCTCCCATCCCCACCCACCATAAGGCCGGCAGAAGGCCAGGTGCTGGCCAGTTCCAGGATATGCACTTCTGATAGGGTCGCCTTCCACCTGAGCCGGGTCCACACCCTACCTGGAAGGGTGGAAAGAGGATCTGTCACTCAGGCAGTGAGCCTCAGAGCAGAGCCCAGTTCCAGCAGCCCCGCCCTCAGCCCAGTCTCTTTCCTCAACACCTTTTGTCACTAGACACTGTGATGATACTAACAGCAAAGGTGGCAAGGGTCGACGCCCACCACGCACCAGGCAGGCACCAGGCTGCAAGCTAAATGCCAACCAACACCACAGGCCACAGGCAGATGCACAGAGAAATGACGCCTGGGTGGATAGAGGCACTTGCCCCAAGAGGACACGGCTGCCCCTGGATCACGGTGGGGACGTGGCTCGAACCCGCACACAGTCGCACCCACATGCGCACGCGCAGCGCATGCACGCACGCCCCTCCCCCTGCCTAGGTGCCCGCGGGCCCCTGGCTGACCCTGCGGTATTGATCTGAGGCACATGGAACTTCAGGAACGGTTGGCGGCCCTGGAAACAGGACACTGAGTCCCTCCTGCCCCGTCAGGAAGCAGGCATTGATCAGCTGGGCCTGGAGCTGGCCGGTTGACTGATTCCCCGTGGGGGCTCCGCACTCCCGCGGCCCCGCCCTCTGCTGGAGCAGCAGCTTGGAGGAGGATGCGCTAACCGCGGCCCGGAGGGCAGCCGCCAGGGCCAGGGCTCAAGCCAGGACGTTCAGCCGTGCTCCATCTGGCATCTCCTGGCCAGGCCTGGGTGTCAGGGTTTCTGTCCTGGCGAGACTTAGAGGCATGCGAGACGCTGGTCCAAGCCCGCCTGTGTCCAAGCTGCTCTTCTGAGAGCCTCGTGCTTGGGGTCCCCCTCCTCCTACACCATACCCTCTACCATATGTGGTGGAGGCAGCCCCAGGGCCCAGGGGTGGGCGAGTGACCCAGGTCTGGCTCTGAGCATCACAGCAACCTGTTGAGGGATGGACATGTGATTGAATCCAGCCAATGAGAATCAGCCCTAGGACTTTCGCTGGGTCTGCAGGAAAGCAGGAGCTGTATTTTCCAGGGCTTGG